TTATTGTTGTTGTTGTTGTTGTTGTTGTTGTTGTTGTTGTTGTTGTTGTTGTTGTTGTTGTTGTTGTTGTTGTTGTTGTTGTTGTTGTTGTTGTTGTTGTTGTTGTTGTTGTTGTTGTTGTTGTTGTTGTTGTTGTTGCTGCTGCTGTTGTTGCTGCTGCCGCTGTTCCAACCAGGACTCGGATAATCAAGAGTGGCTAAGACGGGGAATAAAGACGGTATAGTCCAATCGTCAACGTCGTCTGGACCTGGGCTTGGGTCTTCGTAGTTGTAGTTGTTTATGTTCACATTCATGTCCATATTCCACTTGTCCACATGGAACAGCTCACACTCCCAGCCTGTCTGGAGGTCCATTTGGGCGAATTGACGTGATACAGTAGACAGAAGTAGTAAATACTTGACAGCTGTGCTGTAAGAATGTAGAAAGAAGACACAGACACGTCTAGACAGACACGTCCAGATAGAGACACGTCTATGAAAAGCACAAGGGGATGCGTACGTGTCCTGCTCACATATTGCTTTTGTCAAGACACTGAGACAGTCAGAGAGTGAGATAGTGACAAGGAGTGAAAGAGAGAATGAGAGATGACAAGGAGAGAGAGAAAGAGAAGAAGAGAGAAGAGGAAGCAGAGAGAAGGAGGAGGTAGAGATAGGATCAGAAATTTCACATCTCCTCCCTAGTTGGGTGTTGGGATAGAAGAAAAGCGGAGCTCTGGGCTCGGCGTGTATGCATCATGAGAAGCAGGGAGGGGAGGCTGGATGAGCTTGTGGAGGGTTGGATTGTTGGATTGGTGGATATCATGAAGGTATTTCATTCGTTTTGTCTGTCTCTGTAAGGAACATCACTTCCCAGGTTGTTGCATAGGGCATTCTGTGCATATTTTCATGGGTATAATGTACAGGATATGGGAATAAGAGATAAGAATAAGAACAAGGCATCCCTCATTTGTAAGACATCCCTCGTAAAAAAATCACTTTTCCTTTTTAAAACGTGCCAGGCCCATCATTTCATGCGGTGTGTCTGAAAGATAGAAAGGATCGCAACTTGCTGAAAAACCTACTCAGGAGCAGCGTAACATCCCGCCCAGTTCCCTCCCTGGTGCGCAAAACTCAGCCCCCTGACAAAGTCGTCTCGTCTGCAGCGCCCCAGAGAGTCTACCTCGCAGCCATGCAGTGGCACCACACGGTCGTTGACCAGCACCCGAACGACTGGCTCGTCCGAATCATCACACTGCATCATCTCGATGTAGGCTCTCCCCCCGAAAGGAACGGTCCAGGCCGCTGAGTAGCCATCCGTCTCTTCGATGGACTTGATCTCAGTCGTAGACAGCTTCGCGGTCCCGTTGTACAGGCCCAAAGCCGCGAAAATAGACGTCATGGTGTTGTCGTGGCTGAAGTCTGCGTACAGCGTTGCGTCCAAAGGGAACGTCGCAGGATTCGAGTCCAGAGTCTGGTTGACTGTGGTATGGTCCTGGACAGGGCTGTGGGTCATGCGAGCAATCAGCTCATTGACAAACCCCACGCCTTGGGCTGGCCCCAACGGGTTTCCCCCGCCATGGCCATAGTATTTCCCCAGACTCTGGTAGTAGTCATATGCCTGCCATTCCTCTTGCGTGAAGAGAGCACAGAACGGAGACAGCGTGTCTGTGCGGTTGCGAGCCACTGTTTCAAACGGACACAAGTCCATCAAGTATGGCACATCCGACACGGTCAGGTCCACACCGGGAAGATGGTCTTTGATCTTTTCCAGGATAGCCGGTGCGAATTGCTTGGCGAACTTGTTCTGTTCGTCATGTCCCCTGCTGCTGTCCTCAAAGGCTGGACATCTGCCGGTGTCAAGCGTGTTATTGTAGGACGGACCCTCCTCGATGATCACGTTGACCGTGGGAGCATCACGCTTGTCTGAATGGGGATCCAGCATTTTGGCGCTTTGGAAACCTTCGATGAACAGTCTCCCCGAGGCAATGACCCGATCGGAGCCGGAGCAACGAACGAATGGGACGACATTCCTGGCGAGACTCTTGTAATGGTTGTAGAACTTGATGCCCGACTGGATCATCTGGCTTTCCCCAAAGGACGTCAGGTCGTTCGCTCCCAGCTGATATTTGTAGTCTTTCAAGAAGGCATAGTCGCCTTTGTACGCGGTAGCCGTCTTCTGAATCCGACTGATCAGCTTCGCATACCGCTTCGTCTTGGAAGACGTGGGGTATCTAGCGCCGTGACGGGATAGCAGCTGGACAAACGTAATCTTGCAGTTCTGCGGGACATCTGGCGAGATCTCCGACTGTTCTGCCAGGGAGAAGAATGGAGAATACTGGCCCCAGGAGTGAGATATTTCCGGACGACACTGATATCCTCCTTCCACGGTATTGCAAGAGTGGCTACCGACGTCCAGATTTCCTGAGACACTAAATTACGAGAACGTTAGCATCAGACTGCGCGCTGGAAACAATATGACAAGAGAGGAGGGCATACTATGACGCGAGCAACCCCCCGAAAAGCACCAGCAACAACAGACTCATCGTCACAGCAGCGATTCTTCCTCGAAGGCGAGACATCGTCGAGGACAACCACGTCTGCTTTCGACGTTGGCTGCGAGCTTGCACCTGCAACAGGGACTGGGAGGCCGTCAAGGGCGCGACCTCATCGCCTTCGACCTCCGGGTCGCTGGAGGCCAAGAGACCGGTGCGTTCGTCCGTCATGGGCGCATCTACAGACCAGGTCGAGATATTGCTGGGTCTGATGAGGGTAAGTTCTGGTAAAGTTAGGGCAGTTGCAGCCGCCTGCGTGGAATCAGTCAGGATTGCAGGGTGCAGGCAGGCATGTACTGTGCAGGACAGTGTCAAATCATAAGTCTACCAGCAGTAATCCAGAGCAGTTAATATGGAGGATGTTTTGATCGGAGGTTAACGACAAATACCTATATTTTGTATGCTGCCAGAGGACAATCTGTGGAGACGCGCAGTGACACAGGGCACATGCCCTGCTGATTGGTTGGCAGGCAGTCCCAGACAAGCAATCCCTGGCACGCGGGGTTGACACGTCGATCCATGTTGCAGAGAGGAAACGCCGATCCAGCACTTAACCCAGGAGAGCAACTGCAGTGACTGACGTGTGGTTAGATATCAGACTACAGCCTGTTGAAACAACGGTGAAACACGCGAAAGATGACAATCCACGAAACAAAATTAGGATCCCATTTCGAAATACGCTGTAGACAGAGCACATTTAGCAGGTCCTGACTCGGAGATTTCTGCAGAACTTCGTTGTCCCTCGTAGGGTCGGCCAACCATGGTTTTCCTGGCACGTGCCCCTGACAGGCCCTGGTACCTAAATTAATTACAATGCCCAAAACGGCAGTACAACAGACGACGTCCGAACGAGCATCTCTTCGCCAATGCGGTCCATTCTATTATTACTATGCTATGCTATGCTATGCTATGCCTTCTATCAATTTGTGTAGCTCCCTGATGCAGTGTACTATATATTATCAATATCAGACGTTTCCCTCCCAGCCTAACCGATGAATTGGAATGCAGCTTCAACACTAAGCCACCATGACGACAAGACAGAAAAAAAAAAGGAGGACTAATACAGGAGGCCATGGGATGGGAATGACATACTATACACAATCACAGTCGCATCTCCAACGCACGCCCTCTGCTCCCAATTTCCAATTTCAGTAACAAAAAAATATCTTCAGCACAGCAATTGATCCCAACAGCAACGAACGCAGAAGCAGGAGAACCAGCCGGGGTATCTATCAAGACACACAGAGAAGCACGACTTGGTGATCGACTCATTGGCTAAGCAAAAAAAAAAAAGAAAAAGAAAAGAAAAAGGGAAGTCAACCACCTCGACACCTTGAAATGCTAGACGAAAAGATCAACGTTCCTCGGTCTTTCCAAACAACCATAAACGAGAACGACAAAGGCCAAGGCCTATCAACAACTGTGAGATCGCTTTTCCGACGCCAACCCAAATGTTTTAGTTCGAATATTTCTTTTTTTTTTCCCTCCACGAAACCAAAACCAGCAAAAACCAAAGCGTTTCTTTCACATTATCGATCATGTCGGACACCTCGTCACCACTCATGGTCCAGGATTCCAGCTCCTTCCAAACGAATCGCGCTGCTGCTGGGCATCTGGAGGGGGTCGGTAGCCCCCCTGAGCTGGCTGCACCTGCGCCTGTCCACCGCTGACGTCTCCACTCGCAGTTCCCGGGGGCCAGGGTCCAGGAGGCGGCGGACGAGGCTGCATTTGCCCTTCGTCTCGACCAACTCTTGGGCCCCCGCCAGCAGTGGCAGTCAGATAAGCTGATGGATCCGTGGAAGTGCCGCTGACATGAGGCTGGGGTGGCGCAGTCGGAAGAGGAGGTGGTGCTCCTGCTGCGCTGGTCGCCGGACTGCTGCCCTCGCTTTTCGAGGTCCCTTGCAACACCGATCCCTTCGCGCCCTCGCTTCCTGCCTGCCCCACGGACGGTCGGAAGTGCCGTGGCGACGGTGGTCGAGTCGGGAGCGGACCAGACACGGCTCGACTAAGGCTCTCCCGGAAGAAATCCCGCTCGGCGCGATAGTAATCTCTCTCTTCCGTCAAAAGCCGGATTTCCTCCGCCTGGGCGTTAATCTTCTGCTCCATCGCCATCTCGTTCTTCTTTCGGTTCCGAAACCTTCGGGACGCATCGCTGTTCGCCTTCCGTTTCTCAGCCTGACTACGAGACCCGGACTTGAAATCAACAACGACGGGAATCATGCCCTGGAAGGGAGGAGGCGGCACGTCCGGAGGAGGCCCTGGGAGGGATGGATCTTCTCCATATCTCTGGACACCCATCTGACCTGGAGCCCGACTGAGGGGGTCTACAGTGGGAGGAAGAAAGAGCGGTGGCGGTTCTAATGACGAAGGTCCTGGTGGCTGGGGCATCCCTGGGCCCATGGACGGGGATGACTGAGCGAATGGGGTGTAAGTCGAGTGAGGCGTGCTTGGACTTGTGTCCTGAGAACTGGGATTTGTCGCAAGCCCCGCGCTGGTCCGCCGGGTGTGAAAAGTCGGTGTGGAATGGCGAGACGGTTGAGGCGGAAGAATCCGACCCGACACAGCCAAGCTCGGAGACTGAGTCGTCTCCGAAGGCAAAGAGACATTGGGAGGAACACTGTAGACGCCGGAGGACGGCTCTTGCACAAAAGGTGATTGAGAGACACTGACTTTCCCCGCAACCGTCCCAGGCTTCCCAGGAACGCTGGCGAAACGCGCAGCGGGGGAGACCGGAGTGATAATCCGGCGAGGTCGAATGCCTGGCGAGAGTGATGGGCGATCTGCTTGGATATACTGAGGTCCCGGATTGGAGACGCGCATGAGCGGGGATGACGAGGAACGCTGCTGCGGGGATGGTGACATGGAAGGGGGCATTTCCAAGACTTCTCGACTGCTCTGTCGAGACGGTGCGTTGGACGCACCTCCCTCTGGAGGATTCAAGATCGCATGGACCCCAATAGAACGGGGCTGTGCCGGCTCTGGCCGAGGCTCAATCGACTGTGGTGGATGCCATGAGAGAGGCCTCTTGGAGCCGGTTTCCCAAGACCTGGGTGCTGCCGACGTTTCTGGAGCTTGGGATGCAGCTGGCTGCTCAATCCCACCTCTTAGCGGCGACTGCTGCTGCTGCTGCTGCTGCTGCTGCTGCTCTTCGTTCCTGGGACCACTGGGAGGAGGGCCTGACGCAGTTGGAGTCTCGGACATAGGCAGCAGATCTTCGTCGTCGTCTCGCCACGGCCGTGGCCCGACACATGGCCGGCTCCTTCCCCTCTCAAGATGACTATTGCCCTCCGGTAGTCGACTCTGAGAGGGGAAGGTGGGCTGATTGGAAAGAGGACCGCCCAAGTGATGGTGGTATTGATTGTGGCCGGCCAGGGACCTCGAGTAGGGAACGGGGCGGACAGGAACTCCTAGCGCAGCCAGGGTGACAAAAGGTAAAGGCTTCAGAATGAAGAACGGACGCGACGAAGTTGCTTAATAAAAAAAATTAGAATTAACACACGCAGCTGTCCGAGATAGCCAACGAGGACTCAGACCCGTCCTGGAGGAGAAGCGAGAGACGAATGCTGATTGAGAGTGGCGCAAAGTATATGTATGGATGGATGTGCAGCGGACAGGGTCTGGTTGCAGGAGAAGGGAGCGAGGGTGTCGCCGGGCATGGAGGAGGAAAGAAGAGGAAACGGCGGAAGAAGAGGCAGAGAGCTCCCTCCGACTGGAGAGAATGCTCTCCGCGAACAGGATATCGAGCGGTGAGCGCATCGCCTGGAGACATTAAGATCAGCCGTGACAGCGAGCAGCGTAGGACTAGTGCGTAGCCAGCGGCCAGCAGCAGAGGATGGGGCCCCCGGGGCACCCGGAAGGCGTGTTGGCTTGGGCCCGCGATGGGGCCTGGGGCCCGCCGACAACCAAGCAGGGCCAGGCTGCTAGCGGCCGCGATGGCTAGCGGCTTAGCTGGATGACCGACGGCCGCTTGACGCATGTGCGATTGCGCCGTCTCCATGGTAAGGGACAGAAGCCGGCGCGCCCCCGTTGCTGCGCTAAAGGGGGCAAGCTCGCTGGCTAGCCCCTAGACATTTCATCCTGCCTGCTGGCTGAAAAATCAATCCTGACAATGGTCGGCCGCGTGATTTTTGAACGCCTCTAGATTGCAGGCTAGGGACAACGCCTTTGACAGGAGCCCCGGGGGCAAGCTCCCCGAACCAAACTAGCCGCTTCAGTGAGGCATCCCTGCTCCTGCTCCTGCTCCTGGCACCCTCATAGTAAAGTGGGAAAAGCTCCTCACACGGTCCGGCTGGTGCTCCGTTCTCGCTGGCGTCGCGCCGGCCACGGAACCTTCCTACCTCCTGGAGCTGTCTAGGAGCCGGATCGATTCTTGAAGAGCGGATCAGCAGATGACGATCCAGAAAGAGTAAAAACGTGATCCAAACAAGCCACGTCCCTGCCGGCGCCAGAGCTGGAACGTGCTCTGCCGTTTGGAAGGGCCAGTTTGGCGACTTACCTGCATTATTCGTATGGGCAACTGCGGCAAGCCAGAGTTTACGAGACGAGGTGCCTCTCCTCCTCCTCGTCTTAGTCGTGGATGAGACGAGCCATCCAGGGCCCTGAGTCGTGCCATGACAAAGAAGAGTATCTCGCCGCTGCCCCTGTGCAGTTCTCTCGTCGTCGGAAATAGCCACCAATAAGAAGAATGGCGACGCATGTAGCACACATCATTGCCCAGGGAACGTCGTCCAGGTTGCCAGACGCCATTATTCCAACGAATACGGTCCAAGGGAGGAGGAGGCCTAGTTGCTGCGTGCGTGCGCTGGATGGCTCTCTGCAGACCCCCACGGCGCCAGTTCCGCGGGAGCGTCGCTAACTCAAAAAGGGAGAGAAGATTTGCGAAGGTGAGAGATCAGCTTCGTTGGTTGGGCAGCAACACTTGAGGGCGATAGAGCAAATGCACGGGACATCGAGACGTTCCGATCTGGCCATTCTTGGTGAACAAATTGGCGGCCAGTGGCTTTCACTTGGTCCATTTTCGCATCCACGAACTACTAACCACGACATCGTTAGGGATTTCTCGAATTACCGAGTCCGGAGTATGGAGTAAATACTCCAATCACACTACTGCGTCTTCCCAAAATGTTGAGGGTGTGTTGGTAACCGGATGAATGGCACCACGCCCAGGGTGGAGCCGGTATTCAGTAAGAGAGCAAGCCCTTGCATGCTCAGGTGGCCGCCACGGTGGATTATCATAAGATGTATCTCTCTGTATTACTCCCATAGACCATCTCCATCAGGGAATCCAGCTCTGCTTTCGGCCGACCCACGTTGAACAACAGCACAGTCAGCTGCCTGTGTGTTCGTGTCGAAAGAATTGGGGCGACCAGAATATACGCTCCATCACACCGATTATTGATGAGTCAGGTGGTCCCCGTAAAAACAATAAAGCCTAGTTGGTTAAACGACCAGCTCAACGGTGAACCCACTCACGCTCTAGTGATGACTCCGCTCTCATAGGAAGATTGGCAGCTAACAGACCTCCGAACTGAGCCATCAAGACGTTGAAAATAGCCAAGGTCCTAGGCGGGATGCAAAGTACGGCATACGGAGGATAACTTGGCTCCGTCTCGTTGTCATGACCCAGAGCTGCGGGAAGGATCATGGCAAAGATGCTTATCATTGCTGCTTCTGTTTGTTGGCCAGAGCACCTCGAACCACGAGACAAGGGTCACGAGTGTTGAGAGAAGCGTCGAGAAATACTCCGTACTCTGTACGCCCTGATGCTCTCCGTACAACCGCCAGTTGATATTATTCAACATCATTCCTCGCGGGTAATGTCGGAGTCATACACCCGTCGTTTCTCGGTACGTTTTATGTATGTAGCCTTCCAGACAACGGACAGGTTGAAGAGGTTGCCAGTCTGAAGCTTGGGGACACCTGGCTGTGCATTTCCATAACCTTACAGGGTGCTTTGTACCATCACGTAAGAAACTTTTCTCTCCGACTGCTTGTCATTCCGAAAGGAAAAAAAAAAGGTTCCTGAGCTTCAGCGGATCGATACGGTCGACCAATGCTAGTGACTCCGTACTCCGCACGCGATCGCGCGACACCAAGGGAGGCTTCTTTCATGCGGCCACTAACGGATCGCACAGTCCGTAGATCTTGTGGGCCTTCTAGTCAGACGTTGGGCGCACGTCGTTCTGGAATCATCGTGCGTCGAGTCTGGCACCAACTGGTCTCGGGTGGCCGACGACTCGGTAGAGGTGGAGAAGGGCTCTGATTATGGCCCGGAAGCGTGCATGCGCACTCCGTCGTTCGTCAAGAACGGCCGTCAGGGATGGCCCTGGGAGGTTTGGTGGTTGGACGGCGAAGCATTGGACAGGTCGTAAACTCGGACGTGGTCGAGGAGCAACTATCGTGCGGGAGGTGGAGCAATCCAGAAAGCCCCCAAAAACTTTCTCGGAGCGTGGGACCAGCGAGGGCCAGCTCCCTATGAGAACGGCCCACGAGTCACCGCATTCAGCAAGCTAGAGGCAGGACTATGTTGGGAAGATCCGCCAGGCAGGCCTCTATCAGAGCGTCGGCTGCATAGGCGTGGGGATCTCGCCAGCGATCGATGATGTCCATGCTGTTTCATGACGACAGATTGGAGGTCGTCTCGATGGGCAGAAGGTTTGATGAACAGAACCAGCACCTGGCCCCCGGTAAACCTTGACGCTGGGCGACGGCCGTAACTCGTGGGCCGCGTGTCTGGCGGCGCGCCGAAGGCTTCTAGCTCGTCGTTAGAGCCTCCCAGGGAGCCGGTACTTGGCTTCCGCCGTTCCTGCCGTTCGCTGCGCCGTCAGCTGCCTCGGAAGCCTTCCACGGGCCCACCAGCACGAACAGTCCAAGCTCCTGCCCAAGCATCCGGGGGCAGGGACGATCCGACGTAGTCCGTTTCATTTGCCAATAATAAGAATGATTAATGGATGAATTGGACTTTGTGTGGACTCGTGGTCGAGAAGAGAGAGAATAATACTCCGTCCTGCGTGCTGCGCCTGGCAGAAGTGGAGGTTCCTGCTGGTTCTTCCGTCAGTCAGACTGGTCAGTGAGGACGCGCTGGGGACCAGGCAGGTACCTGGCGTGGGCAGCTGCCTAACAGGAGGTTCTGGATTCTGAAACCGTGGTGTCCACACCGGATCACAATGGATCACAAAGTGGCTGTACAGGACAAGGAGCCTTGTCGAGATCCATTCCGATCGAGCAGCCGTTACTCGTATAGTCGGCAGAGCATGTGACGGCAGCAAGCCATCGCCTGCAAGGGCCAATGAGGAAGGGGCCGTGCAGCCTGGCCGTGGCTGCCAAACAAGGTTCGTGCCGCCGTGGCAGGAGCGCTGGTGCGTGCAGCTGCAGCTGCAGGGCTTAGTCATCCGCATCCTGCAGATCGCTGCTCTGCTGCAGCTGCATGATATCTGCTGCAGAAAGATCTCTGCATCGGCATCGCTCACGGAGCAGCATGGCTACGGCGGACAGAGCACTGCTGTCTACATCAGCAGAGGACTGGGGAGGGAGGTACGTTCCTAGACTCCGCGAGTTCGCACCTAACTAGGCGCCTAACAGCTGGCCCAATCTGGCTAATCGCTTAATATCCGGCAGGAGCAATAATATGGCAAATGGATAAAAGACTCAATCAATCAATGAATCCTCTACCCCTGCCCTTCCCTGCCTCCCCCTGCCCGGCACTCACCATCCGATTCCGATCCAGACCAACCGCAACGGCAGCCGTGCGCGCTGCAGCCTCAAAATCCAGGATTTTCCCCCCTGCCACTTGGTCTGCGCTGCGCTTGTTTCCGTACGCCATTATTAGGTTTGCGATTCTTTTTATTTTTTTTATTTTCTCGCCCCCTCGCCTTGTCTCGCTTTCAGAGCGGGGGGAGCGAAAAAAAAAAGCTTGCTTGCCTTGCATTGGATTAGTTCCATGACCCATTTGCTAAAGCAAGTAAGGATTGTCTTCTGCCAGGGGCTCGTAGGCGGGTTGACTGGCTGCATTGCCGCTGCAGTGGTGATCTGATCGCTTGAAATCTGGGGTCAGGTACCTGTGCCATGGTACGGAGTCCTCTATGTGTAGCTAGTAACTGTACTACTGTTTTTATGATTATTCTTTCTATGATTACAAACGAATCAATCATTCATTCATTATGAGACCAATTCAAGTCTCCCTGACTAACGAACTCTTTCATTGCTTCATTTCTTGAAGTGGAAGCTGTTCCTCGGCTTGCCCCTGACTCCCACGTCCACTCTGTACACGTTGCCTCCGTATCGCGCCGACTCCGGATATTTCTCGGGCTCTTTCTCAGCGGCCGTGGTGATGAAGAGCTCCGTGCCCACAAACTCCGGGCAGGTGACATGGCGCGTCGGGAGCGAGATCTCCCCAATGATTTTGCCCTCCGGGTTGATGCGGATGACCTTGCTGCCGCGCCAGACGGCGATCCAGATGCAGTCTTCCACGTCCATGGCGAAGCCATCGGGCTCCCCGATGCTTCCGTCGAGGTGGAAGTGCACCCGTCGGTTCGAGATGTCGCCCGTCTCGGCGTTGAAGTCGTACGCGTAGATGTCGCCCCGGGGCGAATCGGTCAGGTACATGGTGTCGTCCTTGGAGTTCCAACCCGTGCCGTTCGGGATCATCATGCGCTCGACCATGCGGTGTACCGTCCGATCGGGGTCTAGCCGAAACATGGTGCCTTCGTCTTTGACTTGCGTCACCTTGTCGTCATTACACGAGCCGGCCCAGAAACGGCCACGACTGTCGACGGCCCCGTCATTGAACCGCATCCTGGGAGAAGTCAGCGGAACATGTCCAGAATGGAGTTGCTGGCCATACTTATGCTCATCGTCCGGGTTGTCCCATATCCTGCGCACATAAGACAGCTCTCCGGTCTGAGAGTCAAGGGTCGCAAAGCCATGTTTGGCAGCAACAATGACCTGGTCCTTCGCATCGGCGTCGACGACGTCGGCCGTCACCCTGTTCAGCCTTAGCATTGGGCCAGTCACAGCATCCGTTTTCACTTACCCAACAGCAACGCCGGTCGAGACGACCCGCAGGGAGCTGGGGCCCTTGGCAAGGTCGACGAAATAGACCTTTGCCTTGTCGATATCGACGAACCGCAGCTCATTGCGAGCGGGGGTGTAGAACGGGCCTTCCAGCAGACCGCCCCGGATATCGAGGTACGGCTGCAACAAAGTTGTCAGCTGTTCTGGTTCTGGTTCCTGGTTCCTGGGTTCGCGGGTTAAAGCTTGTAAGGGACACACACCTCCGTCACCGTCCACCTCTGGATGCCGTCCGTCATGGCGCAAACTTAATTCAGCGGAGCCGAGGATATTTATTCGATGGTTCAACTGTCCTAGTGATTCACTATGGATGATTGACAAGTGGCAATAAGCGCAGGAATGACTCGTCGTCCGAAAAAAATTGGCCAGGTGACGGTGATGAGGGGAGTGAGGCGGGGAAGTGGCAGCTGTCCGACCCACGTGGGGTCCCCAGTCAGAGCTAGGTGCGAAGTACGGAGTACCCAAGTAGGTACCTGCTCGTTTAACTTTTAAAGAATGAAAATCAACTGAACTCAAAATAATTCAAAATGCAGAAATTGCAATTACTGGAAAAAAAATAAATACTATTCAGTCTGCCATAAACAAGCGTTCAATTCAAAAACAATTCCTGCATACGGAGTTCAGTTACTGTATTAAGTACTCGTAACTCGGAGACGCGCCGAGCCTATCATCATCGGACACTCGGAGGACCCTCCGTCTACATTACTCCTATTTATTACGGCGCAGCAGCTACTATTATTATTATTTTTACTATTGAAAACTACGTCAGAAAAAAAACAATAACAATAACAATGAAGTCATTGATTGCACTTGTTGAACAGAAAATCTATAACTATACTGTGCTGTTAATGTAGAAAGTTTGCGTCGGGGATACTCCGGGTTTTTCTTTCTTGGTGTTACTAACCCAGTAATATTACTCCGTATGGAGTGCTTATCTGTAGATCTGCAATCCAATCCAGACAGAATCAGAATTCATTGTGATTATTTATTATTGACTGGCTAGAGGATTTTCAGTTTATTTCAATTTCCCGTGTGGATATAATCGTGTAATGGTGGGAGTCGGAATACTCTACGAAGAAGAAAATAAAAACCTAGATTATCAGCAAGTCTCTACGGAGTAAATACCTACTATCTAGTAATCTACGGAGTATCTACCATATCCACTTCCAATCAATGGAATTGACTCCAGGTAGTATGCTGATCGACAGGCAGCTGCTCGAGAACGAAGGTTCAGTCAAGGCTGGCTAGCTAGCTGACGACTGACGACTGACGGCTGACAACTGACGACTGAGCTGTCAACAAACAGCGCCGGTTATTGACAGTTAACAGTGACAGTGACAGTTACGGTGAAGCAAGGTGAGGAGGTGAGGTGACAGCAAGGTGACATCAGAAAACACCAGTTGATGTAATTAGCCCTGCGGCACAGCACAGCACAGCAAAACATGAATGACATGATCACCTAGTTTCGTCGTGACTTCGTGTTCGGGTTCAGGGGCTGGGTTTGGAAAAACCGAAAAACCAAAAATCCGAAATCTGGACCTGAAAACGGTTATGTAGCTCAGTGCTTGATATTCGTCGGTAAGTAAATATGGAGAAACCCCTGTTACTATCAGATGCTGATGATTGACCACGCAATCGGAACTGTCACGTGCTCCGTAGCACGTGACTCCACCTCATATCCTGTACCATAGTAGCCGCCTAGCTTCTTAGCTTCAACAACATCTGATGACTTCAATTTGACTCATAGATTCGCTCTTTGTACCGAATCCTTTTCCCTTCTGGGCTGTGCCTAACAAGAACCAGCAACCAAAATTCCGGGTGTTGTGACCAAAAAACTTAGTTTTGAATATTCAACTCCGTGTAGAATGTAAATAGGTCCCTGCTAGTGGTCACACCCATGGATATCATGACGATGCTTGCTAGGATGGGGTTGGGATTCGTACAAGGCTGAGAGAGGGTTCGTTCGTTCATAGTACTGTACTCCGTAGAGAGAGTTAAGTTCCTGACTAAGTTCGAGGGTCAACACACGGGGAAAACACGGGGTGCATGACTCGTGCATGAACACGGGACAGGCAGAGAAGCCTAGACCACATAGCAGTTGCAGATAAAGGAACAAAAAAAAAGAGACAGCGAGGGAGAGGAAAATCACCTAATTTTTGGGGCACTAGGGGAACCCAAATCCATGGTTTAAACAACGGTAGCTGGTAGGTAGGTATCTAGGTGCCTAAGTGCTAAACTTAATTAAAGACTTGGGCACGGAGTACGGAGACCCTGCCCTAAGTCCCTACCTAAGTGCCTAGCTATAGGTAGTGTCAGGTACTAGGTAGTCCCTAACTACCCACCTAGGTAACTAACTGGTCCGTGCCAAGGGTCCAGGGTCCCGTTCCTAGTACCTGGTCGTAGGGTATCCAGGGACCTAGTATACATAGCTGCGCCGCAGCAGCGGGGTAAACCTCTACCTAGAAGCTGCCTACCTAGGTAGGCACCTAGGTACGGAGTACGGAGTACAGTACATACCTAACCTTTCTACCTGGACGGCATAGCTTAGTCCGATCAGCAAGAAGAAGACAAAAAATGAGCAAAGTTAGCAAGTCCATAGAGAGTGGAATTGAATTGGTAGACAAGAAGAGAGACAGTTTCGGATGTGACTTGTCATCCGTCAAAAATATACGGAGTACTGAAGAAAGGAAGGAAGGAAGACAGGCATTATGAATGTAATTAATTAATTAATTAGTAGAATTTATTATTTGCCTCTCTACGAGTATGCAGATGTCATAAGAGTATCTATCAGGAGAGATGTATATTGCGCTGTCAATAATAATAATATTATTATAATTATGATTATATATACATACCTGTATGTAAATTGTATGTGATCTATAACTATCAATCAATCAATTCCTACTTACTGATCAGAAGTAAGTACTCCGTACAGTAAACATAGATAGAATCAATTCTGTACTCTCCGCTGGACAGCCTGGCAGTTCGACAATGCGCTCGCTGTACAGTACATTGATTGCAGAAATGACCTGTCTGTGACTACCTGTCAGGTATGGATCTGTACAACAATTCAAAGGTTAATTAATAAATAAATTATTATTACCTAGTGATATATTGGTTTTTTTTTTCTAGGAGTAACTTGGGCCTAGATATTATTTCCTGCCAGCACAACTACAAGAAGAGGTAGGGAAGAAAAAAAACCATCAAAAGTGAGTCAAATACAATGCTGATGATAATGATGTACTGTACAATGCGATGCGATGTGATGTGTAATAGACTGATTGGTCTGAAATACAACTGCCTGCAGTCCTATGATCCCTATGAACTGTACCTACATACAGAGAGAAACATACATACATCCACGCATACAGATAATGACTCCTGTATGCATGACGCAATGCAATGCAATGCAAGATGACATGTACAGTACATACATACATACTCCGTACATACATGTCGAACCCGGATCCTGGAGCCTGGAGCCCGTCGATCAGTGTAACCTGCAGTTCTTACTCCGTACTCCGAACTTGCCCGTCCATACAAAATACTGCATACTGTTGTAGATATATGTGGGGAGGAAGAAAGTATAATTAATGGAGCATCATTATTATTACTATTATTCCAATTAATTCTCATTGTTATTATTATTGCCAAGAAGAAAATAAAAGTTTGCTAGCAAGCAATAATACTCTCGCCTGCTTGCTGGGTACAGGACTTCGTACAGTACAGAGTATAGTATGTGGAGTGGATACAACATGTATGTCTGTGTGTGCGTGTGACATGTAAACCACCACCAATCAACCAGCAATCTTGCTAGAATTTTTTTTAAAAAAAAAAGAAAAATTAAACCTAACCAATAGAGTTTTCTTTTTCTTTTCTTTTTTTTTTAAAAAAAATAATAAATCATGCATATATGCATATACTATGCTTGACGCATTGCATTGCATCATTGCATATTATTGCATGACGCTACTCTGTATTGCTGCATTAGACTTGCATTCGCCTCGCATGGTGGAGTGGTCATGTGATTGATGATAAGGTTTTCACCTACATATACCCCGTACATACGGAGTAATAGACATGTGATTTATTATTATTTTCTGGGATGTTTGTTTCATGGAGAAAGAGAGATGAGGGACTTGATGATTCGGATAGTATAGTGTTTCCACTGCTATTCTGCAGGGTGTAAGGTTGTTTCTCTTTGACAGGTGGAATAGTTGACTTTTAACTACTGACTGGGATGGAGATTAGAATGAAATATCTGTATTTAGGGTCGAAGATTAAGAAAGAATGAAGTGCGTGGATTTATGACTCAGGTAATATTTGCTAGCTCCAAGTCAATTCATTGAAGAAAAATTCAATTGATTGAATGAAAATTGCAATATATATTAACGGTTGGCCCCGCTCCAGCTATTTATTTATTGATCATATCGTATCGCCATCTCTTGACATCATCGATCGAAGTGGAAAGAAAAAAAAACTACATAGGAGAACAATCGCAGTAGGTATGTACTGTACTCAGGTATCACTATCATCGAGATAGAAACCAGATAGAACGGGGAAAGAAAAAGCCGGAAAAGTCCGAAAACGACAGCATCCAGCAGCAGATCAACCAGAGTGAACCTCGCCAACTCCTAATCCAACAGTCGCCCCCGGAGGTTTCACACTCCGCTCCCTCAGCCGTCTTCCCTCCATCAGTCCCCGCAGTCCGCGTTTCTGAAGCCCAATCACACTGCTCATGTCGCCCGTCCAGATCTGCTGCTCCCGCCTGTCCGCGTCCGTCCCCCGCCGTGGTCTCCGCCGGACCCCGTCCGGTGCCTCGGAATCGGTCTGGCTGAAACTCGTGTTGGTCGACGCCGACGTCGCCGTGCTGGCGTTGCTGACCAAATCGTCATGGTCGCCGTTGCGCTGTCTGTGGCCCGAAACGTTGGTGTTGATGCGCAGCGGCATCGACTGGCTCGAACTCATCGAGTCAAACCTCGTCTGCAGTCCCGCCGTGCCCGGTTCCGTATCGGATGAATCCGACGCAAGCGTGCTCTGCTGAGATGCTGACACGCCGGTGCCCGACTCGCTGGCTGCCTGCACCCCATTCAACACCTCCAGAGTACCCCCGGGTCCACTGGTGAAGCCGGTTCCCCGGCCACCCCCGGCCGCCATGGCAGCGGCATTGAAAACGGCTGCGGCGTTCCGTCCGTCCAGCACCTGATGGAGCCGTTCAACGGTAGCCTCGAGCAGGCCATCCACTTGATACGGCCGGGCAAGCTGGAGAATAGAACACAAAGTCTGTGGCGTGCACAGTGGAGAGTCCGTCGGAGGTAGCGAAGACGTGTATAGGTAGTAGACCAGAAGCCGAATGGTCTGGTAGGTATGGGGGAGGTAGAGCACGCGAGGTCTGGACATAGGCGAGATTGAATGCGCAGACGGAATCTCCAAATTCGCTAGTAACCTCGCATTTGAAGGGTGTTGGCTGTTCTGGCCCGGTGTAATGGTGATACTCGAGTTGCGACTGGGACCCGTCGTCGCTGCAGGGCGAAGCGTTGCAGAATCCGAAATCCCAGCGTCAGAAGACTCCCGAAGGAGTTGAATAAAGTAAGGACCCCATCTGCGAGACAGGATCCGGGAATTAACGGGGATGCGCTCCCCGCCCAGGGCCTGCAGTTCCATGTCTGCCATTTCGCTCGTCGAGAACGCCACTTTGCCCAGTTTATCCGACGCAGACGAGAAGGGCCGGCCTCCGGATGTCAGTTGAGCGAGTTTCGGTTGAAGCGAGGCTGGGACAGATGGCGCGCTGAACGAGACGTATCCGGAGGTCGGCGAGGTCCGACAGGGGTTGTTGTACAGCCCGAACGCCTCAAGCTCGACCATGCAGAGGTGGGAGAAGTTGATCCGGCGGTGGTTGTAGTCTTCCACCAGGCTTCGCTTGCGATGACCCAGAATCACAAACGTGTTCCTCCGCTCCCACAATATGCCGCGGTTCCAGCTGCCATTGCCAAAAACGGATCCTCCGGCATCAATACGGCCCCAAGTGAGCGTCTTCAGGTCAAGAGCCCACAAGGAATACTCCTGCTTCGAGGAGGTGAGATACGTGCCGCTCACGACAAAGTGTCCATTGATGATGCCGCCGTTGGGAAACCTCAACCCCGGCGGAGAGACCTGTCCGTGCATAGGCTTCTCAATCAATCGGCCGTCTGGTAACCGCACCTGCAGTTCTAGCTTCACGTCCAGAAAGTTGTAGTTCGAATAAATCAGCATGGGTGTACCCTTGCTTTTCGATTCGGTATCTGGTTTTTGGCCTGTTCATCTCCCGAAGCAGCTCCAATTTCGGAAACGTCCATGCCAATCAACGGTGCGACGACACTTCGATAAGCGCCGCAACTCTTTCCGAGAGGAGTCGTAGAGGTCCACTTCAGACTTCGCAGATTGAAGACACTGATCTGCTCAATGTAGTGGTTCGAGCTGTCCTGCCCTCCGACCACGATCATCTCGGCGCCCCCGAATCCGTCAATATCCACTCCAATCGTGCCCTGGTGCGGATTCGAGCCCGAGGGATTATGATGGATTGCAGACAACGGTGCATTAGCCGACGTAAAATACGCACTCGAGGGCAAAATCGCCGCACAGTGAGCATATCGACCTTGGGGAGCATCCTTGGTTGGAACCCGCGTCCACGTCCTGGAGGGCACGTCGTAGATGTGAATATCAGACATAACCACCACCTCTGGCTGCGCGTCATGCCCGCTTTGGTTGCCCGCATTTATCGACGAGTCGTGGGAGGGGGGCGCTGGAGACATGCCTCCATAGCACACCAGCTTTGTATCGCCAAGCGCACACATGCTGTGGAAATATCGCGGCGGTGGTATATCGCCTGTCGCTTCGATCTTGGTCCAATGTCGTCGGATCAAATCCAATTCGTACAAGTCCGAAGTCAACTGCGGATGGGACCGCGATAGCACCCGGCCACCGAAGACGTACAACTTGTCACCCAGGATCGTAGTTGTAGCGCCCACCAAGGGACGAGGTTCCCTGCCTGTTGTTTTGCGTACATTGCACACTAGTCCCGACAAGTTAATGGGTCCTGATGCTGAGCCTTGCTGTTGAGGGGCAGGAGACCCAGCTGCAGCTGGTTCATCCCTGCCACCGTCGACATGACCCATGCTTGATTGACTCCGTGACATCATCTCGTAAGTAGTTAAACGCGAATTAACGAACGAACCGAATCCGAGATCTAGCGAGAGTAATTGGTTCTCTTGCGGCGTTTCTGTAGGGGTAGACGATTTTTCGACCCTCGAGCATTAGTATGAGTGCCTTGCTGACTGCGCAATGACCGTTGTATGTAGCCCACGAGGGAAATCGTGAGTCACCCGGCGTCGTACCCGGAAAACAGGGTCAATCTCGCATCAATAGAAACTGCTCTTGTTGCGGACAAATGTCAAAAAAGGAGAGAGGAGGTTGCGTCTTCGGGAACAATATCGAAAGACAGGCAACGTTATCGATAGACGCAAAAAGCGGTGTCGGGCGTAGTCCAAATTTCGTGTTTTCCACGCAGGAGTTCCGCGACCTAAAGACATGCATCCATCAGCAACTTGCCCACCAACAACAATCACTTGTCCCGATAATGGCGGCGGCGGCAAAGCGAGATAACTCGAGATGGAGAGGATCCGTGGACACATCAGCTCCCAGGCTGCAGGCACCAACCTCGCGGATTTGTTCAGCGCATGCTCTTGCTCTTGCTTCTCACGCAGAGCGGGGTCCGAGTCCTGAGGCTGGAATGCGCTGTACGCCGCTACGGATGCGAGACGCTGGCTCCGTCTGCGGCAAGCTGCATCCACGATGCCTCGTTGACCGCAACCCTGGTAGATATGGAGGCTTGGAAATCGGTTCCGCAACCCAGACGGTCCTCGCTGCAAACTCGTGACGCGGAAGAGACACCCAGCAAGAGACAGCTGCGACAAGGATGACGGTTTGGGGAGACGACAGAGCAGGCGTCCAGATGATGAGAGAAGTTCAAGGGCGAACACCCCGATCGAGGGACACGAAGGGCCGACGCAGCGTTGCGGACTGCGGCGCACACACGGGAGAGGAGGCGGCGAGCATCCGCCTATCGTATGCTGAAGAGAGCATAGTGATAACACGTGATCGTCTCGCTGGCACGGGCGGACCTGATAGCAGGCTGCGCGGCCATGGTTGGGGGCGTGGCGCGCCCGCTCCAGCCAGGCGGATTGCCTGCTGTGGAGGGCCAAAGATGATTCGACCAGGCCTGCTTTTTCCCTGCGATTCTGGGCGTTCCTTTCACGGGCTGTCAGCGACTTGGCGTGTCGAATTCCGCAGGGAGCTGCCGCCAAGCTGACAAGCGCAGCCGCCAAGCTTAGGGCCGCGTGGCAGTCGCATAGCCCACGACCGCATACAGAATCAACCTATAGGACTTCGGATAGAACGCTAAAAAGCTGACGATCGATCGTTCAAGTATTTTGGCACAATCCAGCAAGCCAGACAAGTGCAATACAGTTCGAGTCTACTTTCGCTACGACCGTTGTCGACTCTTTTACAACTTGGCGAGTCTTTCATATACCAGCGAAAGGAATAGTTCGTATCAGTAGTTCTCATTCAAGCTGAGACAACTATCGACATCATTAGAACTGCATCATTAGTATCAAAAATGGCCAGCCGATCTATCCGGTACAATCAACCTCCTCCGTCCTCGGTGTGAATCCCATTGCGAATTTAGTCCTTCTTGAGAGAGGTGTAGCGCAGGTAACTACAAGTCATATACAGTTAGCCAGGTTGCTCAAGATACTTTGTGACCAGCAGGAGGGAACTTACGGCTTGACCTCGCGGACCTCGCCAAACTTCTTCTTGGCATCCTCGGTGGACACGACAGGGGGAATGACGACGTCGTCACCGGGCAGCCAGTTGATGGGGGTGGTGACACCGTTCTTGTCGGTGGTCTGGAGAGCATCGACAACACGGAGGACCTCAGCAGTGTTGCGGCCAGTGGAGGCAGGGTAAGAAAGGATGAGACGGATCTTCTTGTTGGGGTCAATGATGAAGACGGAACGGATGGTCAGGGCCATGCCTGGTGTGAAGTTAGCATTAGATGACAAGCAGAGGATGTATATATAAGACGCACCCTTCTGGTCAACGTTGGTGGTGTCATCGTAGTCGATCATGTCATAGAGGTAGGCAATCTTGCGGCTAGGGTCGGCAATGATGGGGAACTTGAGGTTGGAGCCGGTGACCTCGTCAATGTCCTTGATCCACTCCTTGTGGGAGTCAAGGCTGTTGGCACTCTGCGAGTCTCTGTTAGCATCGCATTGCAATCCTCGCTTGGATCGTCTTCTCTCGACTCACCAGACCAATCAGCTTGACGCCACGGGCAGCGAACTCAGGCTCGAGCTTGGCGAAAGCACCGAGCTCAGTGGTGCAAATGGGAGTGAAGTCATCCTGTGTGAAAGCTGGAGTCAGTATATCATGTCACCCAAAGAATGTATCCCCAACTGCCAGGTTTCTCCTCCGCTTGTGTCTCTGTGCGGCCGGGTTTCGCGGGGTTCAGAGTGGAAGAGAGGGGATCGGTGTAACGTACAGGGTGAGAGAAGAGGACAACCCAGTTGTTGCCAATGAACTCGTGGAAGTTGATAGGACCGTTGGTGGTCTCAGCATCGAAGTTGGGGGCAATGGAGCCCAGACGGAGACTGTACAATGAGGAGGGCCGTCAGTGTCGAAATCCTGAATCAATTCCCAGCATGAAATGGTTTACTTACGGAGCACGCTGTTCCTGAACCTGAGCCATTGTGAAAAGCCGGAGGGGGTATAGAAACTTTTGACAAGGACGGTGGTTGTCTGATTCGAGGAGGAGGATGGCAGAGGAATTGACTGCGGACGAAGCTGTTGGAGAGAAAGAAACAACTCTGGACCAGAACAGGACGCGCCCCTGGAAATAAAAGAAGCTCGCGAGACTGATACCCCTCGACAGACCCCTCCTCCCCTCTCTCCACCGGTTCCCAACCTTCACTGGGCAACGAACCCCGAAGGTGTGTCGTGAATCGCGCTCCTCCTGCGCTCGGCGATCACGCAATCGCCTACCGCCCGCGGCAGAACGGCTCCCATTGGACGGCGATGACGTCTTCGCGGCGTGGGCGGTTCTTGTCACTCGCGATCCGGCCGCCGGTGGGTGTCCCGCATTCCCTTTTGGGCGTGCACGACACCCATGGTTCTGGAGGGGGAATCTGCACATCAGAAGCCATCTCGGACGAATAGACGGATGGCGTCATTGCGAGCCCCGGGGGAGAGGCGTGGACTCGGTCGAGTCGCGCAGGAGTGGAGACGGGAGGGTGTTTGCCCTTTTCCTGTTCGGGAGCATGGCAGTACTCTAAATACCATTTAAGACGGCGTTGTATATGCCAGTAATCGAATGCTGTTAAAAAGGTTACACCTCTGGTGCCCTCTGAACCCAGTTCCTGATCATTCCTCTCAATTCCCTCCGGATATATCTCATAACTTGGATATCCATCAGCAGAAAAAGCCTCAACTTCTCACCCGACAGTATCGGCCGAATATCAAAAGGCACGCGGAAGGCGAGGGCTAGGACCATCCTCCAACCCACCAATCGACATCTGAAGAGATGGCGCAATCGCGAATATCAGTCTTGCCTATCCTAAATCCTGTCTACTTCGTACACCGGAGGATGGGAGAGAATTCGTCGAGAATTGGACACTGAGGGACTACAGTTCTCGCTAATTTAGCCGGATAAAAAAAAAGACCAACACCTTGGGCGACAGAACCTCAGTTCTCACTAAACTACCACATATGGACCATGATTTGTCAGTTCGAAGACTCGATCAAAAGAGTCGTTGGATCGACATGGCTAAATACATCCATTCATCTCTAGGTCTATTATTGATTTTTTGTCAGATGCATTTTTAAGGCCTTATTTACGAATGACCTCATTCCTGTCAGCGATGACATCAGCTCCCCGCCTCGATCTGAAGTGGGCAGGCAGATTAGACCACCAAGGTATATCTTCCTGTGTCACATGCGTATCAACGTGCGTGTATGCGTGTCTCGTCAGGTTCGTTCCTCAACGTGGCGTCGATGCCAGGGCCATGTGCTATCGGCGGCTCATTACAACCTGAGGCATCTCGTCATCATCATGGCTCGACCCCACTGGTCGCAGGTATAGATCGGGATCCCGACTTCGGACAAGAGTTCGACTCCAGGGTCCCGTCGGGCCGAATTCTCGCTCTGGGGAATAGATGGAGGCGTTAACCGTGACTGCCCTCCCGCGCAACAAGAATGGACCACGGCTGTCAAATCCTGAACAAAAATCAATGCTGGTGGAGAAGTTCCTAGAGATACATCAGCGGGCATGCTCATCACAAAATAACTACAGTTCAGACCACTTACACTGGCGAATTTACTCTTGGCCCGGATTTTCGGTCCGTAGAAGACAAGCACCCACGGCACGATGGTCAGAAGAGCACCCTACTCCCAATTAGTAAACAAAGTCCTTAATGACGCCAATGAGAACCTACAATTGCACCCAGCAGACTGGACGCAGCAGGGTATCCCAGGTTATTAAACAAAGCATTGGTGACCAAGGGGAAAACTCCACCGAGAAGATTTCGACCTGGAACAGGTGTCGGTTAGGGAGACTTCCAAAACTAGGACCAGGGGAGCTATCTTACAGCAAGACTGAGCAGCGAGAGCTGAGCTCGCATATCGATGGTATGTATCGGCCAGATAATTAAACACGGCCAGATAGATAGAGAAAATGCCCATTGTTGCGCAGCCCACAGCGAGCGCAGGCACGATCCACGGGATCGACGTGAAAGAAGTCCACCCAAACCAAAATAGACCCGCCGGCATCAAGATAGACTCGATGCAAGCGAAGTACAACCGGCCTTCCGGGGTACTCGACAGCTTGCCGAATCGAAAAGCGATTCGTTCCTGATAGATACTCAGGAAAGTGGCCAGGATGGAACCAACGCACATGGCTGCACACACGTTATTCCTCGTCGTACTGCATCTGGGAGGAGCCGTCAAGCTTACCTGTAAACACAGCCCCAGCCTGCTCAAGATTAAAGTGGTGGTTGGTTTCGAAAACCAATGGGATGGAGCCAAATTGTAGGTAGAGGACAGCCCAGCTGAAAGCGACCCAGAGGGAAAAGAAAAAGACGACTGGTTCAGTAAAGAGGAGATCTGACAGGGGTGGGTCAATTGCAAGGCCAAAAACATACGTCCAAGGCGGGACTTACGGAAAGGCCGGTAGCAGGATATGCTAATCATCTTGACGAGAGATTCCCGTTCCTCGTCACTTTTGACCTTCCACCTGATGCGACGGACGGTCTGTTTCTCTCCGGGCTCATCAGAGGGCATTAGAACGCCATAATAACCGGCCTCCTCTAGGCGCTCGTAGTATGTATTGAGGGCCCGGGCCTTCCGGCTCAGGAGAATGCTTCCGCGCGTCTCCTTGAGAAGGATGTACATAATAACGACAAAGGCCCCGCTGACAATGGCATGGGAATAGTAGATCCACCGCCATGACGTGTGATAAGCGATAGCACTGGAGATCAGAGGACCCAGTCCTGTTCCGAACAGCGCCGCCCCAGAGAACAGGGCCATGGGAGTGTTGCGGTCATCCGCATGATAGATATCGCTGATGACACCGCCCACCATAGTGGAGAACGTGGCTGAGATCCATAGTTAGTTAGCTTCCGGCAACAACGACAATATAGCGAGAATCGTGCGAAGGAAAAGAAGGGTCCGCGAGTTTGGAGACATACAGCCGCCTACGCCCTGGAAAAACCGCGCCACAAGCATCCCCGCATACGAATGGGTTCCCCCGCACGCGATCAGGCAGGCTATAAATAAAACCTCTTGTCAGCGTCTATCCTGTCTGATGCACGGAAGCTTGTCCCCTACCAGTGAAGAGGATCCCGCTGCTGATAAACACTGGCCTTCGCCCATTGATCTCGGAGAACGGAGCCAGAACCATGGGTGCGATGGCGAATCCAGTGGTAAAGGTGGTGACGCCCAGGTCGAACGCAACAGGGCTGACGTTCCATACTGGCAGCAGCTGCTCTGCGGCCGGGGTGTATTCCCCTGCCGAATACGCCGCCAGCACTGTCACCCCACAGGCAAGCCAAGTTATTAGCGTCTTGCGGGATTTGGACCACAGGAACGGTGATGTGTATGGCTTCAAGTCAGGACATTCTGGCGGAGGCAGGCTGCCAGGTTTGGGGGATGATATTCCCACGGGAGTCGGGAGTTCAGTGTCGAAGGTGAGATAGAGATACTCGATCTCTTCCGTTCTGGTGGTCTCGTGCTTCCCTTCCGTTGCAGCTGGATCCTCTCCCGGCGGCGGTCCCACAACGATAACTTGATTATTCTGTGCACCAGCGCTGTCTGGCCCTAATGCGGGCGATTGAGGAGGCGCAAGGCTCTCTGGAGTAGCCATCCTTCTCGACGAGCCTTGCGTGTGCGAGAAACGATCCCCTGATGCGGAGAGAAGGAGGACACGGCGGTTCAGCTGGCCCCCAAGGGATGTTCTGATCTTTTTCTACCTGACCTGCGAGCCATGGCAGATAGACACCCCCCATAAAGGATTCTAATCTAACAGATAGCTTAACTAAGACAGGACAACCGAAAGTGGAGTACAGATCAAAAGTGAGCCGGTTATCGTGCCGGTTCGCTGCAAAGCCCGAGGGATCTACGGTATATCCGGTTAGGGACCTAGGTAACTGAGTGCCGCTACCCGACGGCTGAAGCCGCTCGGCGAGATCTCACTACTGCAGTTGGTCAGCGATATTAATAATGAATAACTAACCAACTTCGAGCAGAAGAATGAACCATCAGCCTGTAGAGTGGCAAGACTACTTGCTGGAGCGGCTCACGAGATCTGTGACTGCAGCGTCCTTGATTCTGGGGAAGCACAATGTTGGAACTCTGGAAGAGTCTGGAGATTAGTCTTTACGGTGGATATCGGTGGGCGAGTGCTTTTTCCTCGTGGTTGGCCGGACTTATCAAGGGGCTCCGGACTGCAGGCTTCCAGACTCACAGCGGGGAAATCGGGAGCGGAAATTCAACGGACTAGGCTAGCTCGTCACCGGTGAAGGATCAACTGCTGGGAATACAGTAATTAATAATATGACAGTAGCCTGACTCAAGCATATCACTCACGTAATATATACTTCCTCCGGAGTAGTATGCAAATCCCGGGCATGATGTGCATCCTGAGAGGATCTTGGAAACGTGCATAAAGTGCGATGAAATCATGAAGCAAAAAAAGAAAGTAGCACAGGACTGCACGTGACATGCCACAACAAAGCTCTCCTGCCCCTTGTTCTCACCGACCAGCAATAACAAACACAGCTGATTGTGCTGTGGATGTTGACGCAACAAAAGAAAAACAAAAAGATAAGAACAAAGAAGAATTGATGACCGTGAGAGAGTCAAATTTGACTGCGCTGACTCGCAAAATCACAATTAATTAAACCTGCAAGCGATCTGACACTGCTGAAGCTACTGCGCACTAATAATAGGAGCGAATGCCACTAGGAACGGCCTGGTAATTAACCACTTGGGTAAAGCTCGAGCTTCAACTCAGGAGCTCCCATCTTATCGACACTCACAACAGCCTCAGTGATTTCTTTGTACTCATTGTTCTTGTCAATCCTTTTTTTTACTTGACTGCTCATTTGCGCACCCAATCACGATACAAGAACAGAGAGGTATTGGTTCATTGTTCTGCAATGCCGCCCAAGAAACGCAAATCGACTGTTGCAGACACCAGTGCAAATGAGCAACCTTCTAAGAGAGCGCGCAAGCCTGTTGCTGAGACAGCTGCCACCACTCGGTCCAAGCGTGTGTCTAGAACTGGGAATAAGAGCACCACAGTGACAACTGCAACGAGCAAAGCTAAAACAGCTCCTGCCAAGGGTGCTGATACCCCAAGGAAGAGAGGTCGTTCGCCCAAGAATCGGGATTCTACCACTGGTACGTAGTATGATATCTGAAAATCACATAACCATTTGCTCCCAGTGTTATATATCTCTCTCTTTATCTCACTTCTGACAAATAATCAGGAGCGTCGGCCAAATCCACTGTCGCAAAAACTCAAGAAAAGCCCAAGAGGCCCCGTGGCAGACCTCCCAAGAAGCAGCAGTCTGCGCAGGCGCAGCCATCCTCCACCAGCGGAACTCGTGGAGAAAATGAGCAGCTCTCCTCAAAGCCCGAAGAGGAACAGAAAAATGTCGAGGAACATGAGGACAACGCAGACGAGCAGAATGACGGTCGTTCCTACTGGCTCATGAAAGCAGAACCCGAGTCGCGCATTGTGAAAGGGGTTGATGTCAAGTTCTCCATCGATGATCTGCGCGCGGCTGAAGGGCCGGAGCCGTGGGATGGTAAGCATGGGCAATGAGATTCGTTTTGAACCACAGACAATGATACTAATACAGTATGGCTAGGTGTTCGCAACCTTGTTGGTATGTTTCTATCTGGTATCTCAGCTATATTACATATTAACCTCGTATTCTTATTGGATTTGTAGCACGGAACAATCTGCGGGCCATGAAGAAAGGGGACTACGCGTTCTTCTACCATTCCAACTGCAAGCAGCCCGGCATTGTGGGTATTATGGAAATCGTTAGAGAACACTCCGTGGATGGTGTGTACCGCAGCAGCCGAGATCCTGCCCGAAGTACACTAACGTTTGATGACAGAAAGCGCCTTCGATCCCGCCCATCCCTACTATGACGAAAAGTCCAGTCGAGACAACCCGAAGTGGGAGGTTGTCTATGTCGAGTTCCGGCGCAAGTTCCAGAATATGGTTTCGCTGGAGACGCTGAAGTCGTATGCCAAGCCCGGGGGGCCCCTGGAGAATCTGCAAATGCTGAAACAGGGGAGATTGAGCGTCTCTGCAGTCACTCCGAAAGAGTGGAGGTTTATCATGAAGTTGGCGGGAGAATCCATGGAAGCTGAGAAACCTGCTGAGAAACCTGCTGAGAAAGCCACCGATGGCCAGGATTCTCAGGCCCAAGAAAAAGAAGTCCAGGGTGAAGAGGTCCAGGCGCAGAATGAGAATGCTGAGGCCCATGGTGATGAGACCCAGGTTCAAGGTGATGATTCCGCTCCAGGAAAGGCCGATGCTGAGGTTCAAGGAGAAGCCCAAAACCAGGCCGAAGCGACAGAGGCAGAAAAGGAGCCCGAAGAAAAGGAAAAGGAATAATTACTGGGATTGTGATTTGTGCTCAAAACTGGTAGAGAGGAGGCCAAGAGACAGGGTTCTCTTTGTGTATCATAGGCGATTTGCTTGATTTTTCGTCGATTATGGAGAAGGAAAGGAGGGAGGCACTGTTATCATATCTCGTGTTCTACGTCTCTGGTCGCAGAGCATAGAAGCGGACCGGGAAGAGCTTGAGGCTCTTTGGGAATCCCAACTGCTCCTCCGTCTTGATCAGGTTCATTCCGGCCTCCTTGAATAATGCTCTGAATTTATGATCTGTTCTCGTCACACTGCTGTCTAGATCATCGTAGATATCCTCTCCATCCGGATCTGTCGAGATATTCTCCTTGACCACCACGAACCCCGACTCCGTCAGCGCTGTGCGACAGCGGGCGAGATAGGCCACCAGCTGGGCGTCTGTCAAATGCCCGACACACCACTGGTTCCAGATCACATCGTATTTCTTCTCCGGCGTCCAGTTCTCGAGCCCGGTGACATAGATATCCCCGACGACCCCGTCCTTCTTCAGCTTTCCGTCGCGCACGACACGCGCAAACTTTTCCACCGGCTCGACCACGTCGACCACCTCGCAGACCTGACTGAGGAAACCTTCTGTCACGCGGCCGATGCCTGCGCCGCAGTCCACCCCCAGCGGCAGCTTTCCCGGCGTGGAGTTCGGCAGCAGCCGACGCACCTTAGCCATAAAGTTCATCGAGCCTCGCAGATCGATGCGGGAGACCTGGGGATAGCCGCCCAGCATGCCATTGACGTTGGCGGGGACCTCGTTCCAGTAGCGCAGGGAGGCGGCATGGTCGATTTGCGAATCGGGGGCGGATGGCGCGCTGCCGGACATGGCTGGCTCGACCAGGCTGGGGGAGCTGTTGGATAGGAACCTTGGGAGGCGCGTCGCGAGGCAGGCGACCAATGCAGGGATGTCTGGACAGGACTGGATCCCCTGGGAGCGCGGATGGCCTTTTTATTGCCTGGGAAGAGTAACTGGATCCGAATGCAAAGGTGGGGGGCGCCGCCGAGCGAGGGGCTCGGAGCTCTGAGGCAGCTTTGCGGCGCCCGCAGCCAAACAGCAGCCGGCAGACAGCAGCAAGTAACTGGCCAAGTCTGCCTGTCGTCCTTCAATGCCGTGTAATGCCGTGTAGTTTTCTGCGGCGTTAGCAGCGTTACGCAGATCGGCGATTGGGTGTTGCCCCGCTTTGCCAGAGCTGCTGCTTATCGCCCGTCCGCAGATTAATCATCGTCTGCCAGCCTGCACTGCCGTATATATATGTCTGGCCTCACGCCCCTCGCCTGTCGCCTGCGTGCTGCTTGTCTTGGAGCTCCCAGGCCCACACGAACGTCTCCGTTGACGCTTCGAGTCCCGTCAGTTTTCAGTAATCGGAAGTTCTCCAGTTCGCCGCGGATCATGTCGGACCTCTTCGTCGAGTTGACTGCCCCCAACGGGCGCAAGTACACCCAGCCGATCGGGCTGTTCATTAACAATGAATTCGTCAAGTCGAAGTCTGGCGAGAAGATCACGTCCATAAACCCGACGTAAGTAGCCGGTGCAAGTCTAGGCAGTTTCTGTCGCAGCTCTGACAGTTCTTTCTCCGCAGGGACGAGTCGGAAATTACGTCTGTGTACGCTGCCGGAGCCGACGATGTCGATGTGGCTGTCAAGGCCGCTCGCAAGGCCCTCAAGGACCCGTCCTGGAAGCAGCTGCCTCCGACAGACCGAGGCCAGCTGATGCTGAAGCTCGCAGACCTGGTCGAGCAGCACCGGGAGACTCTGGCCACCATTGAAACCTGGGACAATGGTAGGTTGCTTCTTCCTGGCTTATATTAAATCTATACTGACTTGCTCCTCCAGGTAAGCCTTACTCCGTCGCTCTGAGCGAAGATCTCAGTGAGGTCATTACCACATTACGGTACTATGCGGGCTGGGCGGACAAGACCTTTGGCCAGACGATCAGCACGACACCGGCGAAATTTGCGTATACTCTGCGTCAACCGATCGGAGTCGTGGGCCAGATCATCCCCTGGAACTATCCTCTTGCCATGGCTGCCTGGAAGCTGGGCCCTGCGCTGGCGTGTGGAAACACGGTGGTCTTGAAGGCTGCGGAGCAGACGCCTCTCAGTGTTCTGTACTTCGCCAATCTGATCAAGGAGGCTGGCTTCCCTCCCGGGGTCGTCAACATCCTCAATGGTCTTGGACGTGTAGCCGGCGCTGCGATTGTCAACCACCCAGATATCGACAAAGTCGCCTTCACGGGTTCTACGGCCACAGGTCGTGAAATCATGAAGATGGCGGCGTCTACTCTGAAGAACATTACTCTCGAAACAGGTGGAAAGTCGCCTCTGCTGGTCTTTGAGGACGCGGACCTCGAACAGGCCGCCAAATGGGCCCACATTGGTATCATGTCGAACCAGGGCCAGATCTGCACGGCCACGTCGCGCATTCTGGTCCAGGAAAGCATCTACGACAAGTTTGTTGCGCTGTTCAAGGACGTGGTAGCCACGACCAGCAAGGTCGGAGATCCTTTCAACGACGAGACTTTCCAGGGCCCGCAAGTCACCAAGGCGCAGTACGAGCGTGTGCTCTCCTACATCGAGAGCGGCAAATCCGAAGGCGCTACTCTCGTCGCCGGTGGAGAGCCATACAAGAACGTGGGCGATGGCAAGGGCTTCTTCATTGCGCCTACCATCTTCACCAACGTCAAGGACCACATGCGGATCTACCGCGAGGAGATCTTCGGTCCTTTCGTCGTCATCACCTCCTTCAAGACCGAGGAGGAGGCCATTGCCAAGGCGAACGACACCACGTACGGCCTGGGCGCGGCCGTGTTCACGCGGGACATCGAACGCGGCCACCGCGTGGCGGCCGAGATCGAGTCCGGCATGGTGTGGATCAACAGCAGCAACGACAGCGACCCGCGCGTGCCGTTTGGCGGCGTCAAGCAGAGCGGTATCGGACGGGAACTGGGCGAGGCGGGCTTGGAGGCCTACACCCAGATCAAGGCCGTCCATGTCAACATGGGTACGAAGCTGTAAAACGCAGCACTTTTACGGATATAATAAACGAATGAACTGGAATTCGGAAAGGATCAGCGAGCCGATCTTTCTTTATCGCTGGAATAGTATATAGTACATACATGCGATAATAGTAGTAGTAAGTACAGTACATACTACTCGAAGCGAGCATAAGAATGGGATATACTGTATGGAGTAGAGATATACTGTAGAATGTACTGTACAAATACAAGGAGATCTCTTTGTACGTCTACAAAATAACTCAAGTTCCATCATCCATATGCTCGAGTTATGAATATTCATATTTTCATATTCATTTTCATTTTATATCTGGTTTGATATTATCTCCTGCTATTTAATAGTGATTCCTTCCTACTCATATTAACTCTACTCTCCGACGCCTTGATGTAACCCACGCTTCCCACAGTGCCCACTGCTCGCGCTCCACTCGCTCTCCGTTGTCCCCCAGATCGTCCGCTGTTAGCGCTCTCAGCTCCGCGAGCGAGAGTTGCTGCTGTTGTCCCTGACGGAGTTCGACTTCTGCTTGGTACGTCGGAGATGCGGGAGAGATGTTGTTGTTGTGGTTGTTGTGGTTGTGGTTGTCTTCTAGTTCCCCATTTGCATCCACCGGCTGCTGTCGTGGTGGGCTTCCGGGAGGAGGCACCTCGACACCGTTCATGATTTCGGCATCGAAGTGGCTTGCGTAGTCAATGTTGCGCAGATCGACCCTTTCCAGCTCTTCCATCTCGCTGTGCAGGAAAGCGAGGACATCCCGCCATCGGCTTCCCTGCCGGAGATAAACACACGGCATGCGCAATTCTCGCAGCTGGAACCTGTGCCGCCGCGATATGTCGATAATCTCGGCCGACTCCAGCCGCCAGCCTTGGATCCCAAGACTGCGCAGGCTCTCCCACTGGAGACGATGGAAAATATCCTCCAGCTGGAAATTGGCCGGGCTCTTTGCCGGGAAACCAATGTGGATCATGATCAAATTTCTCGCGGCTAAGAAGAACTCTCGAAACACTTCCGAGAGGTTGGACATGATGGTCGTAACGTCCCGAGTCGAATGGAAATTCACATCCAGGCAAGTCAGCCGCGCCCCAACCGCAGAGATCGTAATGCTCGGCGTGTGCAACAGCTTCAAGGCCGACTCTGGACTGATCTGGGGGCCAAAGAACCGGACAGAGTGGCAGCTGGACCCAAGAATAGCCACCCCCAAGTTTCTGATAGCACGGGAGCATGCCGGTTCCCAATCCAGACTGAGTTCCTCTTCAGCATTACCGTCTCTCTCTCGAAGTCGCTCCAGCAGATCCTCGTCCGCTTTGTCCTGTAACCGGAGGAGCTTGATTTCCTGGAGGGAGGAAAAAGAGGCCATGGCCCGCTTCAGGAGCATTAGATCACTGCCATTCTCGACCAACGCATTCTGGTCAGCTAGGCGGAACATGTGGACCTTGAAAAGCACAGGATTATCTGAACTGAACTCTTTCAGAAACCGTTCCCAGCCTAGACGAAGTCTCTGTCAGTGGCCGAGCTTGGGATCTTTTCTGGCAGTAAATTCACATCATTATCACATACCACGTCCTCGGTAAAAAGGTCGCACCATATACGTGAAATACCGCGTGTGACCCGCCAGCTTCGCATTCACCAATTCATCGAGGCGCTGGAACCCTTCCCGCGAAAACCTGAGAACGAAGCGACGGAATTTCCATGGCGTTGCGATTCTCATGAACCGCTTACAGACCAATCTGTATCTGTCCAAGTCGGACCGCTCCCCCAATCTGAAACCCTCATCGCCATTAGCCGCGTGCGAGAACCGTGGCCGGGATATGTGCAGATGGTCCCGTATTTTGGTGCTCTCGGGCTCTGCCACCAGGAAGGAGAGGATGTGGTTGAGCAATTCGTCCGCCAGACACTCGATGGGACATGGACCATCCATTGTCATCGTCTCCGCGCGAAGCAGCCGACTCGCCGGTCGACTGGTTCACGCCAATTGGCATAGGATGGGTGAAGAGGAAATCGCAGTAGACAAGAACATGAACGTCTTTTATCAGCCCATGTAGAGAGCTCCCGCCGTCAGGGACAAGGGGATCCCGTTAAAAGCGCACAGCAGGGCTGCAGAGACTCGCGACACTAGTAATTCGGGGAAGCAGGTCTCATGTCGCAGCAGCCCAGTATGCGTTCCCTGGTCGCTGCTGGCCTGTCGAACGCCGACACGCCCATCCACACTGCGATCACATGACTGAAAAGGTCCCTGGAGATCAGGTCCATCCCGCAGCCACATGCATGCGATGGCCTGTGAGCGTCGTCAAAGAAGGAGGAGGGTTCAGATGCGCTGTGTAGCGTCGGGGGGCCCGGGCGAATGATTGGAAGTGGAAGCGTATATGAAGAACGGCAGCCGGAGCGACGCTGCACGGCCGGCGCCTGCGAGACAAATCCCCCTCCAAGACGCCTCGGGGCCCCGCTTCCAGGGGGGAGGGGTATCTGCGCGCAGAGAAGCCGATCGTCTTTGGCCAACCGTGTCGATAATCGCACGCGTGTCTGAGATGCTGCTTTTCTCGCAGCGGGCGGGTCGCTGACCACGATGCCGCTGGTCTCCTTCAAGAGGTGGGTGGTTGGACTGCAACGGAAGCCATTTCCTTGCACCGGTTACGCCGCTGCAATATATACTGCACAGAGCTAGGTTGCGACGCCTCCAATCACATCAACAGGCCTCTAATCTGATTCTTTTTCTTTGTTGATATGATGACGTCTAGGCCGGTCTGCCGATCGAGGATGCAGGCCGGTGCCGCCGTCACCAACGCGCTGTGCTCGCTGCCAATGAAGACATAGACTTAATTACGTTCTCTCTTCACGGTGGACCATGGCCCTGTTCACAATCTGGGAGACTTGGCCAATTGTCTGTCTGGTGCTTTCGACATCGGAGATCGAATCGACTCTTTCTGCACGCTAGTACATTACATATGTTCTCGTCCTATTCGTGAATGCCCCTGCAGGGTATCGACCCCTTTCCCGCTGCCCACTCCACGTCTTCAGACGCAGAAATGGCAAAAAGAGCCCGACAAGAAAATCCATTGATATCTACAGGAGTCCCAGGAAGCATATTGAAATGATGTTCGGGTTGTGAGCTTCGCAACTAGACCTCCCGCATTCGGTCTACAGCATTCGTGGCCTGATCGTGAAGTTGCCAGATACTTTTTTTCCTAACTGCCCTTTGCCATGTTCATTCGACGGCGTCTGATATCCGTACTGCTGATCTTCGCCTCGAAACTTTCGGCAGAAGCGTCGACTCCCTCCTCCACCTCGCCGGCTTGTAGAATATCAACCTCGAAGATCTCTAAAGGAGCCCAGCCTTTTTTCGCCCTCTCGTCATTGATGGCCTTTCCTCCAGATCGGGTCTCTTTGGACACAACCAGGGCGCTGATATTTTCGTCGGTGATGGTGGGTCCAAAGGGGTCTGATATCTGCACCAATTTGATGTGCAAATCTGGCGTCACCTTCACCAACACCCATTTGCCGTTGGGGCCGGGATCAGAAGCCCGTTGAATATCTGGGACACGGTCTTCGGGAGGTGTGAAGTCAATGATTGCGCTCAGGAAAGATGCGGTGCTCTGCCATCGTTCCTCCCAGCTCTCCAGGAATTCCGCGAATTTCTTGTTCACCAACAGCTCATCGCCGGTGACACCGACCGTGAGTAGTCGCTCCCTTCTCCCAGTGGCTTGACCACCGTAAGAATCCAATGCCAACGCTGTGGCGGTAAGCAAGAGCTTGTGACCAATGTGAAGATGATCAAAGGTGCCTCCCACCGCGACAGAGTAGTGGGGCTTTGACGGCGTCTCCAAAGGCGTCACGATACTTTTCGATGAGGTTGAAGTATCCCCGCCAGGGACTGTCGTGCAAGACTTGGATTTGGTATAGTTCAAGAAGGACGACGCCAGCTGCTGGCTCTCCCTCGTATCCAATACGTACACATCGTCCCAGGCTCTTTGGCACGTTGCTAGGGTGCGCAAGTCGATAATCGGCCCTTGTAGGGGGGAATTCCCTGTAGTGCTCGATGTCTGAGCGGGACTACTCTCATCGTCGACAAAGAATATCCTCGTGTCTACCCCACCAGGGCCATCTAGTTCGAGATCTTGCGCTGCAGCAACAGCGCCGACCAGCGTATATAAGCTGGCCAGCAGATGCTGTAAGCTGGCGAAGACTCTGGCTCGTGGCTGGTAATCAGCGGAGAGAATGCCCGGAATGGCCACAGCAATGTCGAGCACGCCTATGCGATTGAAGCCGTCCAAGGCTCTGGATAGATGTGAGAAAACGTGCGACAGAGCCGGTCCATACGCATCCCTCAGTCGGCGGACTGCGTGGGAAGGCGGGGCTGGCAGGAGCAGAAGCGCGTATGGCGGGCTGATGCGGTCCTGGGCCATTCGAGCAATCGGCTGGTCAGCCCTGGTGGCATCGCATGTAGAGAAAAGTCAGGAGACAAGCAATGTTGCTGGATGTTATGGGACGTAAACAGAGGACGGTGTCGTCCGATGTCTCTGCTGTGCCGCGGCTGAGTCAGCAGCCTGTCGCCCGCGCGGGGAAGCGAAGTGAACCCGCCTCCTCTGCTGAAGACGCCTGCAGACTCTGTGCTCGAGAGACGATGCCTTTCAACGGGCACCATCGCTCCTCGAACGAGTCCCACCATGAGCAATCGAGCTCGCACGGTGCGCTGAGGGGTGTGCTCCAGGCCGGCCAGGCTCTTGGTGCTGTCGGGGCGCCTGCAGCAGTGGCAGCCACGTCAGGAACCACCTCCGCCGCCGACGACCTCTACTCCCCCTGCCGACCATCCTTCTTCGTCTTCTGCAGCACTGAACGGCGGCGCCTACGCTGCCGCAGCGGCGAGGAGCTCTGATCTCGCAGGCGGCACGTCCCAGGCACTTCCATCCACCATGTCGCAACAACAGCAATACGACTCTCCCCGGCGGGCTGCTGCGTTCGGCCGCCAGCCGGAGGAGCTCCATATCCCTCTGTCGGGCACCTCGATGCCCTCGCATACGGCTCGCCAGCAGCCTCACAACCAGTTTCCTTCGAGTTCCGAGCCTGGTGCCGGTAATCCCCCCTCCATCAGCATTCAGCAATCGGCCCCCCAACACGCGCAGTACAGCAGTGGTCCCAGCAGCACGCTGCCAGGCGCCCTCCAGCCTGGGAATGCCACGAATCGACCGCCCCCATTGCCTGCGAATACCGCTTCTTCGACTGCTCCTGCGTTACCTCCCATATCGACCCAGTCTCAGCAGTCTACTACAACACCCTCACGCCCAACTAACTCGCACGGCCATTCGAAATCCAGCCCTGCGGGGTTCGACCAGCCGAAATACAAGCAATATGGAACGCCGCCGGACGATTCCAAGTACTCATCTCCTCCCGGATCTGGCTATCCTCAGACGCCCTCGGGGGCGAAATATTCCCCGCTAGGGCTGGCGGATATACGGCCACAGACCGACTCTGCGCTGGTGGATACCCCGATTACGGGGTCTCGTCCCTTCAATGGTGACTTTCAAATCCCCAAAAACAGTAATTACGTTGCGCCATGGCCGATCTATGCAGTGGATTGGTGCAAATGGCCCATGCCTTCGGGGGGTTCCTTTGCTGGGAAGGTAGCTATTGGTAGCTACGTTGAGGAGAGCCACAATTACGTATAACACCCCCCCACTCAGACCTCAAAGTGCAGTGGCAGACAACTAATCCTTGATCAGATCCAAATCATTGACGTTCACCGCAAGCAACCGGATCCAGATACCCCGGATTTAGCACCGGGTGATGTGCAGTTGGAGTTTGTGAAGAGCGCCGAGGCCACGCATTCATATCCGGTGACGAGGATCTTATGGGAACCCCCATCGTCACAGAAGCAGTCAACTGATTTGCTAGCGACTTCGGGGGATCATTTGCGCCTATGGTCACTTCCAAGTTCTCACGCGGGATCGAACAGCAATTCGATTACCCGACCGTCCAACCAACGAGAGCAACAACAACCGGCCAAGCTCTCGCCATTGGCTCTCCTGTCTAACTCGAAATCACCGGAACATACTGCGCCGATCACGGCGCTGGACTGGAATACTGTATCTCCGAGCCTCATTATCACCTCCAGCATTGACACGACGTGTACGATCTGGGACATACCGACTCTCACAGCTAAAACGCAGCTCATTGCGCACGACAAGGAAGTGTACGATGTACGGTTTTGTGCAAATAGTGTCGATATCTTCGTGAGCTGCGGTTCGGATGGGAGTGTCCGGATGTTTGATCTGCGCAGTCTGGAGCATAGCACCATCATCTACGAACCGTCGGAGAAGAACGACAAACGTAAGTAATCAGATTTGATTCCGTAATGGCCGTGACAGCAGCTAATATAGTGAAGCGGTTTTGAGTCCGGGCAATTCAAGTCCTTCCGGCCCCCAACCTGTGTGGCCGCCTCCCCTCCTGCGCGTAGCGAGTATGTCCTTCCTTCCCAGTTTCTTGTTTCTGGTCGATTGTGACTAATTCATGTTTTAGCCTCTCCACACGACTCGCATCTTCTAGCGACCTTTGCACAGGACTCGAATATCGTTCGCATCCTGGACGTGCGACAGCCGGGGCAAGCAATTATCGAGCTGAGGGGACATTCAGCGCCAATCAACAGCGTTGAATGGTGTCCGAACCGACGGGGGATTATTGCGTCTGGTGCCGACGATTGCCTGGTGCTTGTCTGGGATTTGATCAACCACCATAACGCGACACACATCGCCCCTAGCGTTCATCATAGTTCGAGCTCTTCTTCTTCTTCTACCTCTGAGCGCGGCCCGTTCGCTGCATGGCAGTGCGACTATGAAGTTTCCAATATGAGCTGGTCTCCACAGGGAGCCACAACTGCGTCTGGCCACCCGCGAGATTGGCTAGGGGTATGTGGAGGAAAAGGGTTCTGGGGTGTTGCATTCTAGGGGTGGGGGGGTAGATAACTTTTTTGTTTGAGCATTCAATGTTTTTTTCCCCCTTTTCTTTTCTGTCTTCCTTGATTTGTGACATCATATGAGACTCACGACTTTGATTGATTGGTTGATTGATTGATAACCTGGAACTGGAGGGACACTTTGAAACAAAAAAGAAAAAGATAAAAAAAAAGAAGAAGTGATTGATTGATTGATCACCTAACGTTAGCATTATTTATTATTTGAGTAGGTATGGTATGGTATGGACTTGTCTTGAGGGAGGTTAAGAGAGAGAGAGAGAGATACAACCTACTTATACCACTATAGTTCTGATTTCTGATGGGATACATGGAAGAAAGCAAGGAAGGAAATGTATGTGCTGCTGATTGATATCAACTTTTTCTTACTTACTTTTTACTCACTTTTCATTTTTCGTCTTAAGGCTCTATATCAATCTACCTCTATCTATTTACAATCAATTGAGATTCCTTCGAGATTTTCTCTCTCCCCTTTTTTTTTCTTTCGACGAGAAAAGGAAGCAATTCACGATGATATTATTGTACTACGACAAAGAGAGAGAGAGAGAGAGAGAGAGAGAGAGAGAAATCGATTACCGTGCCAGCAAGGTGGGAAAAAGAGAAAGGGTATTGATTGATTGTATTGCTACCTAACCTAGCAATCATAATCATTGAAAGACGCCCAACGTCATCAAACACACACGCGCGAAGAAAAACCCTTTAGTAAAAAACGCCTCGTTGACCGTCTGTCTGTCTGTCCTAAACGGTTCCCGATATATAATATACATGGGAAAAGGAAGCTTTCGAGAACAAAAAAAAAGAACTGGTGAAGGGAAGCCTGACTGATTCATGCAAAACATGCAGGCATAGCCCTATCTATAACATAATGATGCATGAATGCATGCTTTTTCTTTTTTTAGGATGCATCACCACCATTGCCTTTGGCTAAGATGCTGTCTTCCAACCAGCGAGCGAATTTTACGCTCGGTATATCCACCGCCCTCCAAAAGATATCCCCCGCCCACAGGGAGATAGGTAAACAGATGATCCAGCCGATTAGGAGACCAGTGCAGAATTGGAGGTTCGTCTGCTTGCCCGTGTATCGCCAGATGCTCGGCATGATGGAATATCCTAGCGAGTGCAAAATCGGACCGTGGACGATATAGAATGCGTACGAGATCTTTCCCAAATACTGAGAGACACGGTTCATGAACAGCTTTTGGATGTGTTTAGAGTTGTTGATGCTGTGGACAATAAGAACTGCCCCAATACTCTGCGGAAATCGATGCGGTTCGGGATACGTCTTCGGAATCATCCTCCCTATCCACATGTACCCCGGCGTGTATTTCACGCCCGTGTTCGGTGAAGACCCGAAATAAAGCCCTACTATGAAGACAAATATCCAAAAGCCCCGCTCATGGCGGCGGATGAATCTCCTTATCGGGCCTGGGTTGTCCGGCTTCTCCACCACCAACGTCGGATGCGACCAGACGCCGTTGATCAGATCGAGCTCGGCCATGAACATGCCGCAGAGAAAGAGGACCACGTCCCAACGACCCCATCGGATGCAGAACCATATCAAGCATGCCACCAAACTCATCCGGACTTTGGCCTTGAATCGACTGGTTGCAAGAATGACAACAAACAGCACAATCGAGCTCCGAAACTCGACAGGAATGGTCCACAAGTGTGGGTTGTAATTGTTATAATAGAGCGACCAGTCCCATACATCCATCAGCCGAACAATCGTGTAGTACCAGTCCCAGAACTGTGCATAAGTGGTTTTGAAGATCGGCGGGTGTTGCTCGTTTGTCCCAGTGATCGTATGGCCTTCGAAGACGACCTTTTGCGAATAATCATACAAACCCATCCGGACGGCCAGAAAAACACAAAGAGTCCCCACAATGGATGGAATGTACAGACGCAGGCCTCGTCGAAAGGTTGAGGAAGAAAGGACGGCAAAAGTCTGCTCCCACGATCGGCTCCGAATCAGCTTCAGCGGTCGGAATGACAGGACGTAGCCAGAGATGACAAAGAAGATGGCAACCATGATATGGCCGGAGATCAACATGTGGACAAAGGGCAGTTGATGGATTCCAAAATTGGCTCCTCCAAACCCCCATCCTGTCCCGACTTGCCATGTGTATGTGAAAAGGAAATGGAAGTTGAACACGAGAAGACAGGCCCAGCCTCGTAACCCATCCAACGCGGCGATTTCGTGCAGCTTGGCCGGTTTGGGAGGTTCGCCGCCGAACACCGGCTGCAGAAAACTGGGGACTATTGCCAGACCCAATTGCGACAAGCCTCTCTCAACTATCGATCCCTCTTCATGGTGTGTGGATTGAGACGAGTCGGAGGAGTGGTACGGCGAATAGTCTCTCGGGGACTCTCCCTGACGCCTGTCTCTTGCGGACTCGAGATCAGAAAGGACGATGTCGTCAGATGGGCGATGAGGTATATCGTAACGCGCCATGGTCGAGACGAGAACTCGAGTCTCTGGACACACACTGGCTCAGAGATCCCAGGCTCTGGAAGCCAACTCAGCCGTGCACCTCAACTTAGAGCAATTGAGAAGCAAGACATTCCCCGTTCAACAAATGGTGGGTTATCAGAGGTCCCATCGCCGTGTTTCCCTTCAACAGACTCTCCAGGTTGATCAAGTCGAGAGACACATGGGCTCCAGGGCCTTTCCCAGCCTAAAGAACCCCTAAATTATTCGTCGATTTTCAGGAGGATTCGTCAAGACTGCGGTTCAATTCAGTCGGAACAGTGGTGAGGCATGCTTTGCTTCACGGCAGATGGGAGGGGCGGAGACAGGCCAGCTGCAAAGAAAGATGGAGGAGGGGCTAGCGTTGACAGAGCAGAGACATGAAGAGCGCGCGTTGCGACGGTCGAGAAGAGGAAGGCAGCGCGGCTTGATGGAGGAAGGGCGATGGGAGGAGCAAGGAGCCAAAGGGCCAGGATCCGCTGATCATCGGCGGCGTTGCGCGAGTGTTCGTACCTTGTCCCGGTGGCTGGCCCACATGCGGTGATAAATGAGGATCCCCTGTCGCTCCAGGCGATGCCACGGTGTGCCACTGGCATGAGCTTGATGGGGCTAGAAAGCTTGTCCTCTGTCCGTGCATTCATTACCAAGATGTCGATGTGCTAAGCATGTAATGTACAGTACATTTACATATGCATATACAGACATCAATGGAGGCTACATGTGATGTTCTAATGTCTGCGAAGAGACTCTTGGATCAGTTTAATTGATTTGAAGATCGTGTTCTTTGCTTGCGGTTACTGCGAGAACCATGGCTTGCACCGGCTGCTTACTAATGGCAGCCACAGTCACGTGATCTCAACAGGAGAACAAAACACGTGACCACAAAAAGAAGCCGCCGCTCTGAGTTGAGGCGAGAAGAAACAAAGAATAGCTGGCTGCGAAAAGGAGGCTGCTAGTGGTTCGGTTCTTAAAATATATAGGAATATCACAAAGAAACCCTGTAACAGAAAGTGCCGATCCTGCGCTGCCAGAGCCTCGACAGATTCCCATTGGTGCCTGTTGAGCCTCACAGCGACAGCGGAGCTTGGACAAAGACGAAGTAGACTGTGTAGAGTATTCGTATGCGCAGCATTCTTGAATGCATCTCTGTATGCTGTCGGTCCTGCCCCGACGTTGAGGAATAATCTGTGCCTCGTGCTGGCGTGCCTGCCCTTTTTCTCTGCAGGCATGTTCGCAGGCGCCGATGGGGAAGGAGCTCCTATCCGCAGCGCATAACCCCCGAGAGAGCAACCTCCACGACGCGCGAACAGCTGCCATCCGCCAACGCCCTCGTTGCGCCCCCAACGATCGCTTTCGGCCCATGTCCCGATTGCACGCGTGAGAGACGACTATCCTGGAGTCTGCCGTTCGGTTTAGGTGAGCTGTCGCGCACGCCTGCCCTTCCGACGCCGTCGCCATGGACTTGCGCACCATCATGAACAACGACGCCAGCGGCGTTACAAACCCCTCTCCGTCGACATCGCAACAGTCGCCTGCGCGCCGGCAGAGCTCTGACCCTTTCAATACTCCTCGCCAGAACGAGGCCTCGACCCCGGGTTCATCGTATCAGGCTGGATACTTCTCTCGCCCGCCTCAACCCCCTCCGTTGCAGCCACCTCACCATTCTCCGGGTGGATCGTCCTCCTACAGCTCAGCCCAGTCGCCGTATCAATACAATTCGGCTTTCACTCTGAGTACGGGCGCTCAGTCTCATCACGCGCAGAGCCCTTCTCACGCCTATCCTCCGGTTTCTCGCGACGCCCACCCCGTCACTCCCGCCAGTCCAGCCGTGTACAGCCAGCCACAAGGGCCCTCGCTGGCTTTGCCCTATACACCGCAGTCGGTGAATTCAGCGCCCCACCAGCAATCTTACTTCTCTCACCAGGGCTCTCAGTCCCTTCAGTATGTACCCCGTCCTTTCTCCAGGTCTAGTCAACTGATTCCCTCCCAGAGATAGCCCGCGCGCAACCAGTGCGCAACAGCCATTGCCGTCTCAGCAGCAATTCTCTCCCCAGACCCAACGATCTCAACCGGGAACTCCTCTTGGACCGCCATCAGTCCCCTATCAGCGCCCTCCTTCCCAGACGAGCCGGCCACCCTCCTCCGGACACGAACACGGTCAACCGTCTACTTCGTGGGGGCCCCAGGAGAGCCATGGACTAGAACAAAGGAATACAACATCGCCAAGTACGCAACAGCGACCGCCATCTCGGAGGGAGTCAAGGCAGGCGGACCAAACGTCAGGGCAATACCCAAGAGAAACGGATAGGGAAAGGAGCGTCAGTGTGAGCCCAAAGACCATTGTGTCTCGACAGAGTATTGCTGGCTCCCAAGACCGCGGAAGTACACCATATCGTAGCAGCATGGACGAAGGGCGCTGGAGAGAAAGTCCTCCGGGAACGGTTTCCGGCCAGTCTCATAGTGGCTCCGTCGCAAATTCAACGTCCAAGCACCCGTCTACTACTCAGCAATCATATCCATCCCAAGTGGCACAGGCAAATAGCTCCCCATTGGCGAGACATACGCCATCTCGTGATAGCCCCGCATGCTCTTCCACTCAGTCTCGACCGCAGAAGCAAGAGACTGAAGAGGCATCAGAACCCCCGGCACAGCCACCGAAACGGAAGAGGACGAGATACGACGAGCCTCCCATCTACGCTCGCAAAGCTCCAAGAACGAGCGGAAGGAGCCCGGTGATTCCCAATCGACGCCCACCGATTCCCAAACATGCCGCTGCGACATTTGCCCAAGACAATCGGCCCGTGTCACATCAGCGCCCCCCTGCGGCGCCATTGCCGTCTTCGTCCAGACCTCCAGTTAATGGGAATACGCCACAAAATAGCCGTCCACCTCTTCCTGCACCGGCGGCGCCATCTGTGGGTATCCTAGGACCTTGGGAGCCTTCAATCACCGGACTCATTCCTCACGAAGAGGTTACCAAGGTGATATGCGATTTCCTATTCCAGCAGGTCGTTGTCAGAAGAGATCTCGGTGCTGGTCCAGCGGGTGCGGCAGCGACGGGGTCTACGGCTATCCTGGAAGTGGAGGCAAAGCTTGGACAGCTAGTCGACCGGGACAAAGGGGGACGTCTTCGTCTGCCTGTTTTGACTGAGTGTGTTCTCAGTAAGGAAGCGGCTGGCTATCGGACCGCTTTTGAGAGCACCATGACTCTGGTGAGTCTTACTTCTAACCCATCCATTCCATTCTTTTTTTTTCTGACCGCCTCACAGGGGCAACATCGTGCGATGAACAACTTCCTGAATGAGGCTGTCAAAGCCTCTATGCCTCAACCAGGCTCCAATCGCATCCCCTTATCCTATGCTCACAAGAAAGAACGAGATACGTTCTATGAAATCTCCATCAATGAACTCCCACCAGTTGTCCAGCATAACATCCATCCACGGCATAAACCTCGAGTGCGGGTGACGACAGATCAGCGCACCGGTGAGGTCGTGTCCAAGATCGTGAAGTGCCGAATTGCAGATCTAGATGTCTATAGTCCCCGAACCCACGTTGATTGGCGAGTAAGCGTCAATCTCGAAATGAACTATGACGGGGATGTGCGACACCTTCAGGTTGCCGACCTTGGCAGCACTCGCGGCCGAGGCGGTAGCGAGAGGACCAAGGATCGTATGAGTTATCGACACCTGGCATACCAAATCGATCTAACCCAGGTAGCATTAGCAGAGGTATGTTCTAGAGTTCTCAAACTCTTCCCATCCTGCTTCCGATTTCACTCTCGTCAGGCTCTTATTCTCTTCGCATATGACTGATGACAATGGTATATGTAGAATCCTACGAAAGCGGATTTCGAGCATGAACTTGAAGTCGAAGTCTCTGCTGCCGAAGTACGGCGACAAGGAGATCTTGCTCTCGCTGGAGATCCCAAAAACCAGTATGAGGACTTGATCAAGGGATTTATTGATAATGTGAGGGTGCTTGCCCGGGCAGTGCCCGCCCAATAATTGAATCTACCGCTTTATTAATTTCACATCTTTCCTCGATTTTCTTTCCCGCAATTCTCTTCTTCATTTGGCCTCCCTTGATTAACGATACACTTTGGGGAGAAATTATTTTTAATTCTTTTTTTTTCATCTTCTCAAAGGGAAGCCGTCAGTTTGCCCTGTTCTGCAAACATCTGTGATTGGCTCATGGTGTTGGCATGTGTAGTATATTTCCCATTTCTCCGGAAGACTACGTGATTGACGGAGTTGACTGAGTTCTTCATCAGTTTTTTTTAACCTCTATTTTCACGTGCATGAAAGAAAGAAAAGAAAGACACTCGGTTGGCCGAATCTGCTTGGAATGAATGGGGGGAAAGAACAAGATATGTTTTTTTAATTCATTTTGTTTTCTAATTGTCCTTTCTCGCATTGTGTGTTACTAGTAGATAAATAAACAAATGAACAGACAGACAAACAGACAAACAGAAAAAATAATTGCGATGAATGAAAGGGATGAGAGTCAAATAATTAATTAATTGATTAATTAAACTAGAACAGCGCAATTCACTACTTGACTAGGGCTGGTAATTGAGGACCTAGGGTCGTAGGCATTGATCGAACGGTCGATTTATTTATTGATCGTTCGAACGAGTGGTCGATTATTGATCGATCGATTGATTCCAAAGTAATACTCCGCAGTGCTTAAGTGAAAGTGAAGAAATAGCTACGTAGCAAGCAAGGAAAGGTTTTTTTAAAAAAAAATTTCATTTTATTCCATTTCTACTCAGTACATATCTAATAACCAATTCCTTTTTAAAAGCAATTCACAGTCACAGGGGTAACATTTTTTTTTGTTGAAGCATTTTTTTTGTTAAAGGGGAATGAAAAAAAAAGAACAGAACTTGCTTGCTTGCTCGTTTGCATCATGCTTAAAGGGGATAAAAAAGACACAGGGGGTTAGAGAAGACAAATACAAATGCAACTACTAAACTAGCCGTAACTGAACCAGAGAGATAGAGAGACAAACCTTTTGCCACCGCTCTTTACCTGCAAGGATCACTGAAGGACACAAGAAAGAAGAGTATGCGCAGGGGAGGTACAAGAGAGGAAAAAAAGATCAAGTGAACCATAACCCGGATACATACTGTTGCAGGAAAGAGAAAAACCAGGCAAGGGGAAATCAGGTGAATGTGAGGGGAATCCGTAATACAATCAAATTAAGGGGGGAATGAAAAATAATACATGCTCCGTGAGCCCGAATCGAGTCTGTTTTCTTGTCTGAAAGTCAACATAGTCTTGCTGGACCGTAACGACTATGTGCGTTGGTGTTTCAAGGACTAGGCGTGCCCTCCTCGTATCGTGGACCGCCATCGTCCGCGCTCGCGCCAGGCGTCGCTGCAACTCCGGATCCCACCGCCGGGGTAGGTGCATCATACGGCCGGCTGTAACCACCAGGAGTAGGCGCGTTTAGAGCACCGGGAGTAGGGGCGCTGTCAGCGTATCCGCGCGGGGTAGGAGCCAAAGCACCAGGGGTTGGAGCGCTCGCATACGCGCCGGGAGTCGGTGCAGAATAGTCTCCGCCGGGAGTTGGAGCGTCATAACTCTTGTTATTAGATGCAGTAGAAGATTGAGCATTCCAGGCAGGGGTTCGACCGCCCGGGTTGGGGGCACCCCAGGCAGGAGTCCGAGATCCGGCAGCAAAGGCGTCGAAGCCGCTT